GGGGGAAGGGAGAGGGAGAAGGCCTCCTCAGAAGGCTCGAAGTCCCCCAGCCTTCTCAGAAGTGTCTGGGGCCCGGGAGGGCCCCGCGCGGTCCTGAAGCGGCGGCGAGCAAAGGGGGGGAAGGGATAAGGAGAAGGCCTTCTCGTGGAAACAGAGAGCGGCGCAAACATGAACTCTTGGCGCTGCGCTGCGCGCGGATTGCTTGGATCTGCGCTGGGCCCCTGGCGCCGCCTCTGGCGCCGCCTCTGGCGCCGCCCCTGGCGCCGCCCCTGGCGAGCTCCGTGCGCCAGGGAGGGGGATCCAGCGCAGACCCAAGAAATCCGCGCGGAGCGCCAAAAGTTCTTGTTCTCAGAAGGCTCGGAAGTCCCCCCGCCTTCTCAGAAGTTTCTGAGGCCTTCCCCGAAGACCAGCAAAAACTGCTCAGAAGTCGCGAGGGCTTCTGAGAAGTCCCGCCGCCTTCTGAGAAGGCCTTCTCATTCTCAATTCCTCCCCTCGCTCGCCGCCGAAGGGGGAGAAACAAAAGACCCTCCTCCTCCGCCTCTCCTAAGACGAGTCCAGACCTCCTCGCGTTGTGAAAAAGAGCCACGACGGGAGGCTTTTCGCTATAAGGCTCGGCTTCTGGGGGCCCTCACTGGGCTTCGGGACTGTCAAAACACGACTCCGGGTGAGAAACCGGTCCCAGGGAATGGGTCTGGACTTCAGGGGTCGACGTACTGAAAAAGTCATGACGTCGTGGGTCTTCACCTCTACCTCTCCTAAGACGAAGCTGGGACGAGGACAACATCGGACGAGGATGAATCAGGAATTTCTGAGATCTGGCATGTCTCGGGCGTCGCAGCCTTCTGAGAGCAATCCAGAACGCCGCGGCCTTCTCAGAGCGTTCCGGAACGCTCTCGAACATTTTTCTCCTCGTCCAAACCCCGCCCAGTGTCCATACCTTCCGACCTCCGCGGAAGGTGCGGAAGAATTCGTCGAAACTCATGGAAGCCTAGCGCAATTTAAGGAAACCCACATAGAACATATCGAAACAATGAGGGGGAGGGAACGGCATAGGGAAGACGAACGCCAGCACAACCACAGGAGGTTGCCTCCACCAGGGGAAGGTGGCCCTACACCCATCGCGCTACCATCAGGGACGTGTGACAAAGAACGAGATGGCATTTTACTGGCCACAGTGGGCCTGTGCTACAAATTAGCTCCACGACATGCATCGAAAGAGCGGCCCGAAAACCCGAGACCCTCCTGACCCCAACGCGGTCCTTCTTTCAGCGCGTCTTGACCCTAGATGTCTGGTGTTGAGGGCGTTACATCGGGCGTGCCCGTCTACAGGGGGAATATTCAAACATAGTCAAACAATAGTCTGGGGACGTTGTTATATACAAAAATTGGCTATGCTTGGATATTTGTGGTGTGTTTCTCCACATCCAAAGTGGGGTTCTTGCTTTCTGTGGACACCCTCCGCAGGAACACCTCCCTCCCACTCTCCGCCTCACTCACGCATTCACCCCGTCATCGGTCATGATCACCACCGGTCATCATCATCACCACCACCACCACCATCATCATACTCAGTCACTCACCATCGATCACCATCACCATTGGGCACCGATCATCATCATCATCAGCACCACCACCACCGCCATAATCACCATAATCGGTCGCACATCACACATAACCTTTCTCTCATCACTCAACATCACTTTCCTTCGACACCCCGCGCAAAAAACACACCACCACCACATCCTCCTCTTCCTCATCATCATCAATCATCACCATCATGGGCCTCGTCTGTGAATGAATTGTGAGGAAGTGTCAGGCGGGACCCCCCTCCCTATGGGGCCCGCATTTCACCATGGTAATCCGGCCAGGTCATCGGAAATTTGGAACCGTCGTCATTTTGGGGCTGCTCAGGCTTGCGTACGGAAAAAATATCAAGCGGGAGCCTCGTCTGTGAGTGAGCTGTGGGGAATTTGTTGGCGGGAGCCCCCTCCCTATGGGGCCCGCACTTCACGTTGGTAATTCGAGCGGGTCATCGGAAACCGGTAACTTTTATCACTTTTGGGCTCCTCGGGCTGAATATAAAAGACGTATCAGGCGAGAGCCTCGTCTGTGAGTGACTTGTGAGGAAGTCTCAGGCGGGAACCCCCTCCGTATGGGGCCCGGAGAGTACCTGTTCGAGAAAATATCAGGCGGGAGTCCCCTCCCTATGTGGCCCGCACTTCAAGTTGGTAATCCGAGCGGGTCATCGGAAACTTGTTACTGTCGTCACTTTTGGGCTCCTCGGGCCTGACTATGGAGGACGTGTCAGGCGGGAGCCCCGTTTGTGAGTGAATTGCAAGGAAATCTCAAGCGAAAGCCCCCTCCCTATTGGGACCGCAGATCATGTCTCTGAGGAAGTCTCGGGCGGGAGCCCCTCCCTATGGGGCCCGCGCTGCATGTTGGTAATCCGGCCAGGTCATCGGAAACTTGAAACTGTCGTCGTTTGTCGGCCTTTCGTTTCTTAGTGTGGAGGAAGTATCAGGCGGGAGCCTCGTCTGTGAGTGAATTGCGAGAAACTCTTAGGCGGGAGCCCTTCCCTATGCGCTCCTCAGAAGGCGATTCGCCCGACCCATCAGGTGAGGAGGAAGAGGGGGAACATGAGGTGAGGACAACGACGGCGGCAGGGCGCAGGGGGAAACCCTTGCGTCCGGACTGGGGGTGGTAACCGCGTGAATGTGGCAGTGACTAGCTCGGTGCCTGCGGGGCTGTCCCAACGGCTTGCTCCCGCGCCCCAGCGGCTCGCACGGTTGCCCCAGAGGCCTGGCCCGCGGACTTGTCCCAACGGCCGCGCGACGCGGCCATTCGAGAATGCGCACGCGTTGGCCGAGGCGGCGACGGCGTCGAGGAACATCGACGCGCGCGCTCTTAATAGACAGGGGAGGAGGTGGAGGTGGATGAGGAAACAAACAGCAGGAGGGCGAGGCAAGGGCAACGCCGGGAAGCGGGTGAGGGCCCTGCGCCAGGGCGAGAATGAGAATGACGCAGGGAAGACAAGAAGGGCGCCTCACGAATCGCGAGGACGGCAATGAAGGTTACTTCCAAATTAACCGAAAGGATTTTCATGTGGGGTCTTCCCGTCGGAACAATTAATTTTGCATCGAAAATCCACCTGCAGGAGCACCTGCCCGACCAAATCCTGACGATCGTTTGACAATCTGTGTGGGCCCCGCGCCGCCCCTGGCGCGCTCGGCGCGCGCCAGGGCAGAACGTCCAGCGCCGATCCGAGGACTCCGCTTGGGCCTCGGAAGGTTGATATTTTTGTGTAGGTCGTTCTTCCTTGGATGTTCGAGGAGGCGGTCGGCTACAACACTGATTTACCCCCGAATTGAAGTGCCCGTCGAATCTGCAACCAGCACCGTAAAGGTTTGCATATATCTACGCAAACTATCTGTTCTTTGTTGTGTTTGTCGAACTTAATGCTGGGGCCATTCATTCGAGCAGGGACCGACCGTCCCAGCACTCCTGTAGGCCAACCGCGAAATGTTCTTAGAGCCCCGAAATGTCCTAGAAACAAAAGCAATGTTCTTAGAACAGGAACCCCATGTGTTTAAACAAAGACTGACTCAGCCAGGAATGAACTAAGAACATGTCGTGCAGACCACAAGAGGTTTTAGAACCCTCTTCGGTGGGCCGATCGGCGAGCCAGGACGCCTCGCCACTGCTCGATTCATACCTGCAGTCGATCTCCTAGTCTTGGATGTTTGTTCATTCTGGGGACCTTTCTGGAGCCACTCGCTCCACTCGTGCGTCGAAGCTGCGTCGAAGGTCCGTCGATTTGAGTCGAACCCGGGGCGACCTGGAGTCGAACAGATCCGTTGGGTAGGCCCCGGGAAGGTCCCCACAGCGAGCATCTGACTACTCGAGGGCCGGTCCTGGCCCTTGCCTGGTCGTGCAGCAGGCTCGCGTTCGTGCGCGGCCCGAGGCCCGCAGCGCCGCCGAGCTCGGCCGGCCCCTCCTCGAAGAGCGGCGCGGGGCGGGCAGCCGCGCCGCCCCGCTCGTGGTGGGCCTCTTGGCGGCGGGCGACGGGGGGGGGGGGAGCGAGGAGGAGAGGTCCTTCTCGGAAGGCGCGCACGACTCGTCAGAAGCCCCCGCGCCCTCTGAGAAGCTGTTCTCATCTCTTCGGGCAGGGCTTCGAACACTTCTCCGAAGGCTGGGGGACGTCCGAATCTCCTGAGAGGGCCTTCTCCCTTCCACTTCCCCCCCTCGCTCGCCGCCGAGCCTCTCCCAGATGGTAGGATATGTGCCCGTCAGGGCCAACCATCGCAGTCATCTGGTCCTCGTCGGCACCAGCAGCGTCGTCGTGGCTCGCCACGTGCTTCCGCATCAACCTTCCCGCCCGGGCATCGAGGCCGGCATCGATCGCATCTCTCTGCGGGCCAGCTGCCGCGCCTCTGGCGGGGGTGACGCAGCCGGCAGACGCACACAGCACGAGGGCCAGGCCGAGCTTGCTCATGGACGTTTCTTGTGGAGCCGAGCGGAGCGCCGGCCAACGCAGCCAGGTGGTAGCTGGCAGAGAGCACGTAGCTCAAGCTGCATGCCAGCCCGAACCGAGCGGTCGGCCTGAGCACAGATGGCTTCGGACGGACAGAGACGCAAGGGGCAACGTTCGGGGAGGGCCAGCTCAGGGCGGAAATATCGACCTGGAGTCGGCGATACATCGCCGATAGGCCCCCTATTGCGAACCCGCACGTTCCTGGGCGGGGTGGGGCTAGTAGGCCCCGTCCGGCGATGCATGGGCGACCCGACGCAGTGCACTCCTCCCTGAGCCTAACCTCCTTCCATACTAATGTTGACCTTGAAGATCTGCACGAGCATAAGCTGGCGGAGGTCTGTGCGGATTCCTCGGATCGGCGACGGGACCCCCTGGCGGTGCCTCTGGCGCCGCCCCTGGCGCGCTCCGCGCGCCATTGCTTGCCGATCAAAGAAATCTTCGCGGAGCTCCGAAAGCTCATGCTTCGTCGGGACGCAGGAGGACCGGACAGGGGCTCCGACGCCAAGCGGGGCTGGAGAAGCCCAGGCATCCGCCGGCGTGCTGTGCTCACTGCGATCCCCCAGAGGCGGAGGAGGAGGAGGAGGAGGAGGAGGAGGAGGAGCAACAGGAGGAGGAGGAGGCGGAGGAGGAGGAGGAGGAAGAGAAGATGGTAGGGGAGGATGAGGAGGAGGGAGGAGGAGGAGGAGGAGGAGGAGGAGGAGGAGGAGGAGGAGGAGGAGGAGGAGGAGGAGGAGGAGGAGTAGGAGGAAGACGAGGAGGAGGAGGAGCAGGAGGAGGAAAAGGAGGAGAAGGAGAGGGGAAGGAGGAGGAGAGGGTGGGTGGGGGAGAGGGAGGGGGGAGGAGGACGAGGACGAGGAGGGAGGAGGAGAAGGAGGAGGAAAGGAGGAGGAGGAGAGGAGGAGTGGAGAAGGATGAGTAGTAGTAGTAGGTTGTCGTCGTCGTCGTCGTCGTAGGGTAGTGTAGTAGTAGTAGTAGTAGTAGTAGTAGTAGTAGTAGTAGTAGTAGTAGTTAGTAGTAGTTAGTAGTAGTAGTAGTAGTAGTAGTCGTAGTAGTAGTAGTAGTAGTAGTAGTAGTAGTAGTAGTAGTAGTAGTAGTAGTAGTAGTAGTAGTCGTAGTAGTAGTAGTAGTAGTAGTAGTAGTAGTAGTAGTAGTAGTAGTAGTAGTAGTAGTAGTAGTAGTAGTAGTAGTAGCCGCAGGAGGCGGCGGGGGAATCGGGCCAGCGCTGGTACTGCCATTGTGGTGCGCGCTACGCGACCTCCTACGGCGTCTGCATCGAGATGATAGAGGAAAAGCAGAGCCCGCCTCGCGCGTACTACATGCACGCGGACTTCCCCGAGGAGGACATCCGCGACTTGAAGGCCCTGCTGCGCTACGACAAGCTCAAGAAGGAGGGGGTAGCGGTGCTCAGCGCCGTGGACCTCCTGAAGCACCTGCCCAAGGTCGAGCCGCTGACGGTGGGCACCGTTTTTAAGCGCTACGCTCCGCAGCAGCCGCAGTGGGAGGGCCACTATGTGCTAATGGAGGGGCTCTCCTGGGACAGCCTGCCCGAGTTCAAGTGGTCCGACCTGTACTCGCAGGTTGCCTGGGGGCTGAACGATCCAAAGTGGGCGGGCTACACCAAGAAGCACCGGAATAAGGCCAGGAGGGAGCGCCTGGCGACCGCGTACGAGGAACTGGCGGCCTATGAGCGCCGCCACAACCTCCGAGAGGGTAGCCTCACGGGCGGCGGGGGTGGTTCCGGGGTCGCCCCGCGTGCCACTCCCGTCCGCACCGCCAGTGCCCCCCCAGCTGGCTCGGCCCGCGGCAGCCAGGACCCGCCACCACCGCCTGCTGGAGCCCCGCCAGCGGCCATCATGGCCCCGTCGCCGCCGCCGCTGACGGCGCCCCCTGCGGCGCCGCCGCCGCCGACGGACCCGCTCCCACAACAGATCCCTAATGTCGCTGCTCTGAATGTGGCCCTCGGTGAGGAGGATCTTGAGCGCCAGATCTTTGGGCCCTCAGGGCAGGCGGGCGGCAGTGGCGACCTCGGGGGAGAAGTGCAAGCGCTGCCGTCGCAGGTCTTCGCAGCCATTGCGCAAGGAACAGGCCAGTCTGCCTGAACGCTGAGACTCTGCAGGCCCCCAGCATCGTATACTTCTTAGCCCTCGGGGAGGCTACGTGAGTCCATGTTAAGATCCCGAGCCTGCCACTTTCAAGGATGCTGAGCCTGTGTGCCCGCTTGCGCTCCAGCTTTAGCAACGCCGCCTTGCCAGCTGGCGCGGGTGCGCCCACAGTGGTGCCCCCCCTCGCGCCGCGGGCCCTGGTGCTTTGGCCTCCGCTCTTCGCACGGTCAACTGTGCGCCTAGCCATTCTGGCTTGCCATGTAGGCTTGCCATCCTGGCCTCCTCTCGCGCCTACTTGCGCTCGTTGGCCTCGTTGGCGGTACTGGGGTCGCCCCGTGTGCTGCCGTGACGCCGCTGTGCGCCTAGCCATTTTGGCTTGCCATCCTGGCCTCTTCTCGCGCCTGCTTGCGCTAGTTGGCCTCGATGGCGGTACTGGTGTCGCCCCGTGTGCTGCTGTGCCGCCGCTGTCGCTTTACTTTGGGCCGTAGGGACCAGCTGCCCTCGGATAAGCGCCCGCCGCTGCATGCACGTCAGACCCACCATTTCACCCAGAAGAGGTGCTCGCTACATACTGGAAATGAGGCAGCCACAAGGACGCTCTTCCCAAGGCGGTTGAGCCGTGGTGATGTGGTGCACGGGACCGAGTAGTAGTAGTAGAAGTCGTAGTAGTAGTAGTAGTAGTAGTAGTAGTAGTAGTAGTAGTAGTAGTAGTAGTAGTAGTAGTAGTGGTAGTAGTAGTAGTAGTAGTAGTAGTAGTAGTAGTAGTAGAGCAGCAGCAGCAGCAGCAGCAGCAGTAGTAGTAGTAGTAGTAGTAGTAGTAGTAGTAGTCGTAGTAGTAGTAGTAGTAGTAGTAGTAGTAGTAGTAGT